TTATATATATATATATATATATATATATATATATATATATATATATATATATATATATATATATATATATATATATATATATATATAGTATCGGACAAATTAAGTGCAACCAAATATAAAAGTGCTATGTAACTGCACTTTTATATTTTATATTTTTTATTATTTTAAACAACTATGTAACTGTTTAGAGACAATGTTCTTCAAGTTTTATTCATCACAAAGTTCATTATTTGTACATGAAAGTTAATAAATTAATCAAAAGTATTAAAAAAATTTGATTTCCTTCTGGACAAAACAAGTGCAACTCCACAAAATATTGACCAAGCTGTATTTTGCTATCAATATTTTGTGGCGAATCCTTTGTTGTCGATCACAGCCTTGCATGTTTGAGGCATAGATTCAATCAGGTGATCAATGAAACTTTGTGGAATCCCTGCCCAGGCCTTTTGGATTTGTTCAAACAGTTGATCTTTATTATGAACACCTTCACAATTAATTCTGCGGTTGACGATCTCCCACTGGTTCTCGATAGTGTTGAGATCCAGAGATTATGTTGTTTTGAAACCATTGCTTGACTATTTTTGCAGTGTGTTTCAGATCGTTGTCTTACTGAAAAACCTATTTTATTGGCATTTTCCATTTGCCATGAGGTAACATAACATCTTTCAGGATATTTTTATACATGAAACGATCCATTATTCCATTGATTCGATGTATTGAACCTAGACCGTTAGCAGAAAAACACCCCCAGACCATTACATTGCCTCCACCATGCTTCACGGTCTTATGGCAGTAACATAAATCGAGGCATTTTCCAGCTGGTCGACGTATACAGCAAATGCTATCGCTCCCAATGATGTTGAACTTCAATTCATCACTGAACAGGACAGTTTGCCATTTCTGCACATTCCAGTCAATATGAGATGTAGCAAACAGGAGTCTTTTCTTCTGGTTCTTTAGTGAAATCAGCGGTTTGTTTGCAGGGCATCGAGAAAACAATCTGGCTTCAACAGCACATTGTCTGATTGTTCGGTCCAATACAAGTAGCTCTAATTGCTTTTGTATCTCAACTGATGATATCCAGGGATCCTTCTTGACCAATCTGACAATCATAGAATCCTCTCTAGAAGTAGTGGAACGCGGTCTTTCACCTTTGTTATCTGCTGCCAACTTCCCCGTAGAACGATATTTGGAACATAGTCTTGATACGGTCCATTTTTTTACGCAATATTTATCACAAATACGTTTTTGTAACATTCCACTTACATAATCGCCAATAATTTTATTTCTTAGTTCCAATCCAAGGCTGTTGGGAGCCATTTTTGCACTTGAAGTCATAAAAATAATAAAAATAAATAATCACGCTTCTCAAGGCTTACCGTGTTACATTTACTTTGTGATGATACAATAATGCTCTGTGGAACACAATGTCTTGGTTGGATGTGGACTGTATTGATGTAATGAAACACTTGTCGTATTTCACTTCTTGTATTGATGTTCTTCGATAAAACACTTTGATAAAACTCATTTCGATAAACTGTCTTGATAATACTGACTGATTTACTTCCATACACTGACTGAACTACATGTTGGTTTACATGTCTCTTATATAGTAAAATGAACCTGTGTGAACCTGTTCTGGAAGATTCTAGATGCTTTTTTTTGATGCTTCTGGAAGCTTCTGGATGCTTCTGAATGTTTCTGGATACTTCTAGATGCTTCTGGATGCTTCCAGATGCTTTTTCTGGAAATTTCTGGAAGCTTCTGCATGCTTCTGGAAACTTCTGGATACTTCCTTTAAGTATTAATTTACTGATTACATTATCCAAAACATTTACTGATGGTAAATGTTTTGGATAATGTAATTGCTGTATATTGAGATCATTGAAATCTCAAGTTCTTGAATGGTATTTTAGTGAAGATTTTGCTTGTGCTTGAATTATTTTAACTATTGCAAAGACATTTAGACAATAGTATATTATTAAAGGAAATAGAAAAAAAGTGCTAATACTACCAGCATATAACTTTTTTGTTTGCATTTATTCATTAAGTGGAGAACCTTATAACTTTAAGTGGAAAAAAAAAAAATTTTTTAGGAAATTTATTTAATTTATTAATTTAGATTACAAAACCTGATTAACTTATCTCAATCTGCAAATGAAAAGAAAGTTGAAAGAAAGGACCATATCATGTTGTACTTAACTCAATTGATTAGTGAAGCTATTGTACGGATATCATTTGTAAAGCATTTTCCTTATTTTAATGGGTAGATTTGTTTTGATGAGGATATTAGAGTGTTCAGCAGTCAGGGTTAGGGTTAGGGTTTGATGAGGATATTAGAGTGTTCAGCAGTGTGGGTTCAATCACTTGAGCATAGGATGAAGCCATCATAAATTGGTCTGAGTTTTGGGATATGTCTTTCAAAATTAAGAAATGCATAGTTATAATATATTAAAAATTTTAATAATTGCTATTATATATATATATATATATATATATATATATATATATATATATATATATATATATATATATATATATATATATATATATATATATATATATATATATATATATTTATATACCGGGTGACCACGCAACTGCATTACGCTCAAATTTAAGGCTCTATTCATGCTTGTAGATATCCGTGGATCTACTTGTTTACAAATTATACAATGATATCAATACAGAAATAAAAAAAACGTGAAAATTAAAAAAATTTAATTAAAATGTATCTGCAAGAATCAAAAAGACGAAGCATTCTGCAAATGTTGTAATCGGATAAGACTACATCAGATATCAGAAAAGCTTTAAACTGCTCCAGAAAAGCAATTTTTTGAGTAAGAAAACTTTTTCATGAAACAGGAGATATCAAACAACGCTTTAATAAGCCAAAACCTGTGAAACGATCACCTCAGCTTTTAAGGTCTGTCAAAAGAAAAGTCAAGCGAAATCCATTGCGCTCCATCCGCCATTTGGCAAGGGAAGCCAATGTTGCCAACTCCACAATGCAAAAAGTTATGAACCTTAAATCCAGAGCTGTTGTGACTAAGCATCTTATCACTGATAAACAGAAAGAAAGTAGGAAAGAGCAATGCAAAAAATTGTTAAACTGCCGAAAATCTTACCCTGGGCGTGTGACAATCTTCTCTGATGAAAAACTTTTCACTGTTGATAAAGTTACTAATCGCCGTAACACAAGGTACCTTAGTACTGCCAAAATAGTAAAGAAAGTCCCTGAGAATACCAGGTATTAAGTTTCATCAAAAAAACCAGCTTCTGTGATGGTACTTGGCGTAATAGCAAGTGATGGAAAAAAGTGTCCACCAATTTTTGTGAAAAAAAGGTCAAAAAAATGACAGTGATGAATATATCCACCTCCTGCAAGAGAAGGTCATTCCCTGGTTAAACAGAAAATATCCAGATGGTCAGTATGTGTTTCAGCAGGATGGAGCACCAGCTCATACTTCAAAAAAGACACAAAATTTTCTCAGTCAAAAAATGAGTCAGTTCTGGGACAAATTAAAGTGGCCTCCATCTAGCCCAGATCTGAATCAATTAAACTTTTTTATATAGACGACTGTGAAGGAGGAGGCTTGCAAGATTCACCATGGAAGTACTGAGTCACTACAAAAATCTATATGCAAAGGATAGGTCAAAGTTCCAGAAGAAGATGTCAAGAAATCATGCAGATCCTTCCAGCGGCGTATCCAACTTGTGTATGATGCCAATGGTAGCCACATTGAATAATTTTAAACCTTAGTCATAAATAAACATCTAGTCAAAATTCTAGTCAGTTATGAATTAAAATAAATTTTTTGTATATTTTCAAATTTTTATATTTTTTGCGTTAAGCTGTTGCTCGGTCACCCGGTATATATATATATATATATATATATATATATATATATATATATATATATATATATATATATATATATATATATATATATATATATATATATCTGTGTGTGTGTATATGTGCGTGTGTGTACATACATATATACATACATACATACATACACACATACATACATATATATATATATATATATATATATATATATATATATATATATATATATATATTTATATATATATATATATATATATAAATATATATAAATATATATATATATATATACATATATATATATATATATATATATATATATATATATATATATATATATATATATATATATATATATATATATAAATTATGTTTGTGTATTCTACAAATAGGTTCACCAGGAAGCATCTTTCTGATGAACCTATTGATGGTGAAACATGCTATTAAAGAGCAAAAAAATTAGAAAGGTGTTTTTACTAAATTATATATATATATATATATATATATATATATATATATATATATATATATATATATATATATATATATATATATATACATATAAATTATGTTTGTGTATTCTACAAATAGGTTCATCAGGAAGCATCTTTCTGATGAACCTATTGATGGTGAAACATGCTATTGAAGAGCAAAAAAATTAGAAAGGTGTTTTTACTAAATTATATATATATATATATATATATATATATATATATATATATATATATATATATATATATATATATATATATATATATATGTATATATATATATATATATATATATATATATATATATATATATATATATATATATATATATATATACATATATATATATATAAATTATTATCTCAGAAGTCTTAAAATTTAAAGGTTTTATAGAAAAAAGAATCTCCAAAATTCTATCTTGATATTTTGAAGCATTTTAAAGTTATGAATCTTTTAAATATAACGTCTATTACGGGCAACTTAACTGAAATTAAAAAATCAGTATAATTTAAAAAGATTAAGATTTTATTCTATATGAAATTAGCAATATTAAGCTAACAAGTTTAGATTTTTAAATACATATTTCACAAAAAAAAAAAAAAAATGCACAAAAAAAAATTATACGTATAAAATTAATTTTATACGTGTTTTTTTACCTGTTGTATGAACTTTGATTTATAAACCTCTGGTGACCCATTATTTATATCTTATTATTTTTTACAAATTTTCACCGAACTTTTAAATATAGTTGAATAAATGTATATAAAGTTCTTTTATGTTCCATTTTTTAAGAAAGCGATCATTTATTTTTGATTGTTTACAATTGACAAACATTGTATTTTAAGGAACTTTAATACGGAATAACTTAATTTATCGAAATAAATTATGAGGTAACATTCAGTTATTTCTCGCTTAGTTTTTATTAGTCGTCACTAAAGAAGGACGATAATTCGATAAACAAATATTTTAGCGATTAATCTTCACTAAACGAATAAAATGGCTCGTTCTTCAAATAGTGAAACGAATATTCTTTAAACGAATACATTCGTTTTTGCTTAATTGTTTAAGGAATAAATAATTGCTAAAAGGTTCAGGGTCGTTAAAGGGAAAAACGTAAAAGCGACTTTTTTACAACTAGTTTCTATTAGAAAAAAGGCAAAACTTTTAGATTGAAAATAAAAATAATTATCAAATCTTTGCGCGTATCTTTAAAAATGTTAAAATAATTTACTTTCTTATTATATAAATAGCTTATTTTATTGCTTATGTATTTTTAATTTGAAATAAATTTTTTTAAGGGGCTCTATGAAAATATTGAGGTGATATTGCATCACCCATATCTTCTTTGAATTTAGTCTGTTTTTAATAATTATTGTTTGTTGATGTGAAACTTATCTGTAATTTATTTATAATATATTTAACTTATTGCAAATTATATACTATCAAAAGCAAGAACAACAAAAAGTTTTAATAGCTATTTTTTTTTTTGTTTATTTTTATGGTTCTTTTTGGTTACAGTAGATTCAAATAAAAATTTTGGTTTTAATTCTTATTCTAATAATTGTTTAATGTGTTTAAATATTTTTTAAAAATTTTTAAATAATGATAGATCCTTGTTCAATTCAATTATTTGAAAAACGAACTTTATTTATTTCTCGCAAATTTTATCAGAATAAAGCTAGAAATCCCTAATATTTTAAAACATTTAATTTTTAGCTGTATCAAATATTTTTTGAAATTTTATTTTTGAAAATTTAACTCCATTTTGTTTTTTACTTAACCTAAGAAAGATACTTTAAAACAAGAAAACGAAAAAGATCAAACAAGGCTTAAGAGATTAACGTTAAAAAAGAGGGTTAATACACTGAAATTCATCACTGACCAAAACTTGAACAAAACTTTCATTTCAAATGTCCAAAGATGGCAAGTTTCATCAGTATTTGTAACAGACTTTTAAAAAACAAATACATCTTAAATCTTTCAACTTTTTTAATGTTTTAGTGACACCTCCTTAAAGAAAATTTCCATAAAATAACAAGTCATAGAAAGTAGAAAAACAAGCGTTCCCAAAACAAACTACGGCGCACCGCAATAAAGTAAGCCGCATGTTGGATTTACTTTTATCTCCGTCCCATTGCCAAACATTTAACTAATGAAACATAGTCCGCTACTTCCTGTTTCTAATTGACATTATTATTATTGTAAATAAAAAGAAAAGTTTAAAACTTTAACGAAAGAAAAGTTTAAAACTTTTACTTTTTTATTAAGAAAAAAAAAGAAAGTTTTTTGATTACCGGCTTTCTTATAAATCAAGTAAAATTAAAAAAAAAAAAGTCTATTTTTAGTTCTTCATAGATAAACATTTTACATTCCAATAATATCTCTAAATAGAATAAGATGATATTTATATTTTAATGATGTACTTTATATAAAAGATGAAATATTTATTGTTTCAAATATAAATAAACATTTCCTTTATATTACATCCCATACGTATTTGCTGGGGATCAACCATTCATAGATTTCTTACAAACTTATAAAAATGCATATATTAAAAACGAATTTAAAACACTTACTTTTTGTAACAGATTATGTCGGAACGCTATATTTATTTATGTATACTACACATATATTATATTATACATTGCGGCTTCATTATTTATTGTTAGGTCGCACTCATCACACATTAGAAAAACACGCATATATTAAGTTTGTAAAACAAGCTCCATTCAAGTTTATGTGTTTTTTTAAGATTTCAGTCACAACGTGATTTCTCATATTAACAATAACGTTTATTTAATTCCAAAACATGGATTTTAAATAGTTGTCTTTTTTTTATCGGATATATATATAGTTTTGTAGTTTTTATAGGATATCATCTTAGCCGTCTCTAGAAGGATTGAATCGAGCAAACAACTTTATTGTAACGCTATGAGTTGCGTAACTTTCATAAGACCGTTTCTATTTTGCCGTGAGTTATTTAAGATTTTACAAGTTTGAGCTCAGGTTTTCCATGGTATACCAAGGCGTATATTTTACATTATTTACATTTAGTTATTTTGTATCATAGTGCTTTTCGTGTGCGTGCCCCTCGAATCAAAATTGAAGAAAAAATGCGAAGAAGTGCAAACATTCATCACAAACCCGTGCGAGTTTCAAGTGTTTCGCAAAAAGTGTGCTGACCTTTGTAACTTTGGACAAAGTAAGAAATTTTTTTTGTTTTTGATCCTTAAGTATATAAATATCACAGAAAATAATTTTTCTTATGGCCTTTTGCCAACTGATACTTATATTCATATGAACATAAATACGTACATTTCAAGATTAGTTATGAGGTTTAAATTAGTTTTAGATCTAGTTTTTACCACCTGTGAGTATATTAGTCTGCTATCAATTCACGATTATAAACATTTATAAAAGCAAAAAAAACAAAAACAAATTATTTTATGTTATTTAATAAATGTAAACAAAACCTAATTGGTAAGCCCTTACACTCCATTATTGCAAAACGCCCATAAAAAAGAATGCTGTAACATAAACTCTCACGTCTTGGCATGGTAATGGGGAATGACTCATATAATCTAAAATTCTTGAATATTGTAAAATTTACAAGCAATATATAAAGTGTATTTTACAAAAAAACATCGCGTAATATGTCAAATCAGGTATTAATGCAAAAAACAAAGGATCTAAAAAATATTTTTTTTACTTTTCTGTGGTTGATCCGCTACAAAATTTATATAAAATAGATGTTATTGATCATAATTTACGTTTATTTAATGATAACTAAACATAATATTTACAAAATATTTAACTATAACAAATAATTAGTTTAAAATAATAAATATCTAGTTATAATTTTTTAGAAGAATGTGCTTTTGTTTTAGCGAAATTAAATTGTGGAAGAAATAAAAAAGAAAGAAAGAGACGCATTGTAGGAGGAACTGCCAGCAAAAGAGGTGAATGGCCATGGCACGTTAGTTTAAATTTCAATGGGAAGCAATGGTGCTCAGGTGCTATATTGTCTAAAAGCTATATTTTGACAGCAGCTCATTGCTTCGGTAATTTATTAGATTTTTTCAAAGCTTTTTTCTGATGATAATTGTCTATTGTAATTCATCGTGTAATTTTGATTTATAATTACTTTTTTTACTCTATATATTTATAGCATATTTATTTTTGTTACATATAATTATTTCACAATGATTGGAATTTTAATAATGAATCATTTGGTATCAACTTATATTGCAGACTCATATATAACTCGAATAATAAAAATCACTGCCAAAACTTATTTTCTTGATAACAAACACAAAGCTATGAATTTCCTCAAATAGAGAGGTCAATCTAAAAAACAGTGATTTAGAGAATATTTTAAAAAGTAGTTAAAATTTTTACAGTTTTTTTTTATTATCAGAGCCTGGAAATAAACTAAGTAACTTTATTATTTAACTGGTTTTCATATTCCATTCTTTTACCTCTCCCCCTGGAACCCAAAAAATGTTCTCAAAAGTATTTTAAATAATATAAGAAATAAAAAGCCTATTGTTATGGGTATAAAGATTTTTAATACACAACATGAAAATTTTCTGATGTAATAGCTTTTTTTCTAACGGAAACTTTTTATTAGAGATGAAAACATCTTTAAAAAAAATACGAGGCTGAAACGCATCTAAAGTTAATAAACAAATAAAAAACCATGGCTCGAATAGCCATTTTACTCTCAGAGAAAATATAAAATATAAGAAACTAGTTTTTAAACCTTGAAATACTTTTCTAACAACCTGCAAATTATATACACCTAAAAATTATATACATTTAAAAATTATATACACTTGAAAATATACAATTAAAAATTAGGAAGCACAAGTTCTTCATTATATACTAAATAAACCACATAACTATAAGCGTTACTTCTTTCTCTAATCAAAGCGGTTTGAATATAAGTCAATTTGATGTTCTAAACGTGTTAACAATTGTTCTACTGATTACTTAGCAGACAAAATAAAAAATGGTGTTTCCAGATTGCAAAAAAATCCAGAAGAATGTAGAAAGAAGTTATGTGCTACTTTAAGAAGTAACATTTTGATAACAAATATACTGTGAGTTTTGAATATTGGCCTTTATATTTCAAATAAACGCCAATACACTGTATATAAAAAATGAATATTCATGGGAATGAAAGACCTTTTTTAATTTCTTATTGTGTTATATTGTATAAACTGCACTTCCAAAATAAAGAATTACAATATTAGTAACTTCAAATCAAAAGTTACAACATTAGCAACTTCCAGGGCAAGAGAAGTACAAGCTGATCAACTTGAAATTATACAAGTTCTTTGCTTTCTTTGTTTCTTTTATGATGCCTGGGATAAATTTTACAATTTTAAACAGTTTTTTCATTGCATTTTTTTGACATGCAGTATAAATATTTGTTCTCAATCAATTAAATTTAAAGGTGGTCTACCAAAGTTTTCATGAAATTATTTTCTTCAATTTTTATTGATTTTTTTTATTGTATCATTTTTTTTTAAGTTTTTACTGAATCTTTATTTTAGTCTAAAATATTTTATTGTGGATGTTTATGCTATCTTAAAAGCAAAAAAAACCAGTTATTATTTTAAACAATTAAATAAGGCTACAGTTATTCTTGAGAAAAAATTTTTTGTAGAGAGTTTATTTTCTATAAACAGCTTAAGTATTTGTGATACACTGTATTCTTCAGACACATTTGTCTGCACTTTTAAATATTATGCTGTTTTCAGAACACTTTGTAAACAAATTAAAAATAACTATCAGCTTTCCAATGTTTCTACTCTATAGTAAAAGC